ATGTGTTCGCTCACCTCCCGATCTACTGAGCCGACCTGTGACAGTCTCATTGTCACAGGTCGGCTAGAACTATGAGGTGAGTGAAAAGCCCCTCCCCCTCATAGTTCTCCTTTAAGGGAGGAAAGGAACCAGAACCTAGTTGGTCAGAATAATATAGGGGAAAAAACCCCTTCGCTCTACAGCATGGCCAGAAGGGAGGAAAAACACCTTCAACAGCAGAGCCGCACAGAGGGGGATCCGTGACCTCAATGCCAACCGGTCAGGAAGAAAAGAACAAACGTGACCTCAAGGTCCTGGAGGTAAGAAACACAATCTAAACTGAGGTACGAGGGGAAGGGGAGGGGCTTTTAACTATTTTTACTAATTGTGTAGAAGGTGGAACCAATCATCTCTCAGGTTGCTGTCCTGGAAGATGATTAGTGAAAAAGGAGTATTTGGTATCGTGGAGTGCCTGAGGACAAATACTGGTACTCGGTGTGGTATCGATGCATCCCTATGATAAAGTAACACTATGGTAGACATTTACCTTAGTACCCTCTAACAGCTGGGGAGCCGACACGGGTTTTCCAACTTTCTGGCATTGATCGCATTCCTTGACCTGTAAAAATAACAGTTGGTAACATGTGTGTGCGGCTTTCCTAAATATCGCAAAAACACAAAACTAATCTGTGTGTACCCAGCTGTCAATATCCCTGGTCATGCCACTCCAGAAGAACCGGGACGACACAGCGTTGCGCGTTTTTATGATGCCCACGTGACCTCCCATTGGAGTTGAATGGACTTCTTCTACGATCCTCCTCGCTTCTTCCTTCGATTTAATGACTTTCTTATTTCCACAGAGGAGCTCCCCGTCTGTAAGGAAAGGGATCAACAAACCGCTACATTCCTGACATGTAAAAGGTTCAAAATAACAATATTATTATTATTATTTTTTTTAAAGTGTTTTGTTTTAGATCCAATTTTTTATTTTTTTGGGGGGTTCAGATTGATCTGAATGTTTTGGTTCCTATCAAATTGGATGATGAGGTTATTTAATAAGAAATGAACTTTTGTTTGGTCATCTTAGTCTGTACAGGTCATTAGAATTTAAAATTTGGAAGAAAAATAATTGGAGATGCATTCGCATTGGGATGTCCGCACTCCTCTTCTTAGTCCGCGCTGGTCATTACAAATGCACAGATACTGATATCGGTACCGTTGCCGAGTATTTGGGCGAGTACTCGTACTCCCCCAAATGCTCTGATGACTAGCCCGACACCCGAACTTCCGGTATCAGGAAACCGAGCAGTGAGTCATTACACACTGCCCGGCTTCCTCATTGGCTGGAAAGCCGGCTCCATGCTCCCTTGTCACTCGGAGGGGAGGAAGCATGTCTCTGTCTCAGCCCCGCTCACCACACCTCTGCCACTGCGCACAGCCTCGCACCACCTCTACATGGGATCCGGGAGAATCAGCTGCTGCACTGCACATGCGCAGCATTCAGCTGAAACCAGTGGCAGAAGCAGCGGCCTGGCTGGTCAGGAAGCTGGCCAATCAGGAAGCCAGGCGGCAAGTCATGACCCGCCCCCCGGCGTCCTTATTGGCCAGAAAGTCAGCTCCATGCTTCCTCATCACCTGGTGACGTGGAAGCATGGAGATGGCTTAGCTGCTAATCAGGAAGCCGGGTGGCGAGTCATTACATATCGAAAACCGGTATAGGTGCATCCCTACTGCTCATCTTTGCCTATACTGGTCATTAGGATAGAACTTTAGAAATTCGGGGAAAAAACAATTAAAATTCTGATTCATTCAAATTCGGACGCATCCAAATGTCTGGATTTAAAGAAATTTGTCCGAATTTCAATTGGGAAGAAGTTAAAGGAGATGAAAAGCCCCCCCCCTCCCCCCCCCCTCATAGTTCTCCTTTAAACTTACATTCCTACTACAATGATAAGAAAGCCATCTTCCCGAATCACTAAAAATGGATGGTATGTTTGATACTAGGGATGCACCGATAGATACCAAGTACAAGTACAGATACTTTTTGAGCTCCAAGACCAGACTAGAGAAAAACTCAAAAGTTAGGAGGCGGCTGTCATGTGTAAGGAGCACACGGAGCTCCCGGGATTTGTACATATCTGTTATATTGTACGATTTTGTTTTTATAAATATAAATAAATTGATGCACCGATACCAGTTTTGCGAGTACAAGTACCGATTCATCTTTGTTTAGTGTCATGTGACAGTTTTTCTAAAACAATACAGACTAATGATTTCAGGACAGTGGTGGAGCGCCAGAGCCCGGTCCCAGCTGCAACCGCTGCAACCCTGGGAGTTCTCATGAAAATGCCAAGTATCGGCACTGGTACTCGTTGCATCCCTATTTGATACAAACCTTTTATTGTGAATTTGGAGGCGAACTTCCTGAGATAGAATTTCTGGGAACTATCGGACCCGGGCGGGTATTCTCCCGCAGAGAGGAAGTTGAAGATTTCTCCCCACTTCTCCATACCTGTAAAATATAGAACATCCTTCTCAGCTCCAATACGACGATCCTTTATAGCCGTCAGCGGGCCCCTCCCGTACAGGGGATTGCGGGGGGGGGGCCCTACCCCCGTACAGGGGGTCACGCGCGGGCCCTGTTTCTGGTACATAAACTGTTGCCCATTAGAGAAATTTACCCCTTTAAGAGATCTTTCATCTCACCTAGCGTGTGGATCGGGCGGCAAATCTCCTCCTCGTGATCTTCTGGAATGTTCTGCAGCCTGGGATTCTCCCTATAGAAGAAGACGAGATCTATGGATCAGCGTCAGGTGGCAGAACTACACATCTCGCTCTCCCTCGTCGCAAAAGTTTAATGTGGTTTGTCGCTCCCGCTATTGGGAGGGGGATTTGGTTCTTAGGATTTTAAGTTCTTTTGCTTGGGCAAGTTGAGTCAGGTTTATTTTGATTCATTTAATAAAGTTTTAAAGTTATTTTTAAATAACGGTAAAAGTGCCGCGGTGACGATCTCGCCGATTTGGTTTTCTGGGACTCGTTTGAAGCTGGTTATTGTGTTGTTGACTGACCAAGAGGGCTGGAACGAGCCAAGAGGACCAGGACAGATCTCACACAACCAAAAACAAAAAAATAAAAATGGCATAAAATTAAAAAATATATAATTAGCAGCCTCACTTACCAACAGTAGACAAGCGCAGATAATCAAAGATGGTCGAAGCAACACAATGTCACCAGGGCAACCGCAAGCAAGAAGTGCAAAGATGATTATTTTCAAAGACGATGTTCTATCAAAATGGCCAACTCGTCCAAATCTCCAAGTACTATCGCTTTAAAAGACAAACACCGTGGTGTTGTATTCACCAATCAGGGACGCTGAACACACGCATGCGTAGTGAAATCCGATCGTTATTATCCCAGAACGTCCGCAGCGAAGAGCCATTTTTCTGAAGCCCCTGTAAGCTGCTGGGCCTAATCAACAACAAGATGGCCGCCGCTGAACGCCGTTTTGTAGCTCGGCCTCTAGTGGACGGACCGCGATGTGAGCGGAGGGAAGCTGAGGCACCAGAAGTGACCTGGAAGCGGAAGTGCGGCGTGTAGAGTGTAGGATTGATGGTGGTGAGAGCGGGGAAGAGCTGGCAAAGGTAGCCGGAGAGGTGAGATGGGGGTATTCTAGAGTCAGACTGTGTACATATGGAGGGAGCGGGGTGTCGGTCTCAGCATGCAGTGCGGATCTTCTTCTTTGCAGGGACTACAACTGCCTGTGTGATCAACCATTGGGGGAACTACACTCCCCAACATGTTTATTTATTTACAGTGGGACAACTACAAGTGTCAGCTTCTTGCTCCCTGTACCTCCCTATATTGGGGGAAACTACAAGTTCCAGCATGCATTGCAGCAGCTGTGACTTCTGATCTGTGGGAGAACCAAGATCCAGCATGCTTGAGATCATGGCATGGCTGGGTGTGAGCTCTGTGAGAATGTACTCCTCATCATGTTCACAGTATTTGCAGTGCTGACAGGTTCTCTTTATCATTAATATTTGCCTTATTCAGGGCACAGTGACACGTCTTGTCTCCGCCCCTCCTGTAATAAAGACCGCTCACTGCTGCTCTCTCTTCTTGTGCAGGGTGACTGGTCTTGTCTCCGCCCCCTCCTGTAATAAAGACCGCTCACTACTGCTCTCTCGTATTTGTGCAGGGTGACTGGTCTCGTCTCCGCCCCCTCCTGTAATAAAGACCGCTCACTGCTGCTCTCTCTTCTTGTGCAGGGTGACTGGTCTTGTCTCCGCCCCTCCCGTAATAAAGACCGCTCACTGCTGCTCTCTCTTCTTGTGCAGGGTGACTGGTCTTGTCTCCGCCCCTCCCGTAATAAAGACCGCTCACTGCTGCTCTCTCTTCTTGTGCAGGGTGACTGGTCTTGTCTCCGCCCCCTCCTATAATAAAAACCGCTCACTGCTGATCTCTCTCCTTGTGTAGGGTGACTGGTCTTGTCTCCGCCCCCTCCTGTAATAAAAACCGCTCACTGCTGATCTCTCTAATTTGTGCAGGGTGACTGGTCTTGTCTCCGCCCCTCCTGTAATAAAAAGACCGCTCACTGCTGCTCTCTCTCCTTGTGCAGGGTGACTGGTCTTGTCTCCGCCCCCTCCTGTAATAAAGACCGGTCACTGCTGCTCTCTCTCCTTGTGCAGGGTGACTGGTCTTGTCTCCGCCCCCTCCTGTAGTTTTCTGCAGGTGGCCTGTAGTGGGTGGGGCCTCATTTCCTATTGCACAGTGGGAGTTGCAGTTTGTTCCAGCGGCAATGGAAGTGACAATGCTCCTTTCTTATACTTCCACGAGGTACCTGGACAAAGCTTCGCTTTCTGTCTGCAAACGATGACATCATCGACTTTTATAAGGCGCTTAGAAAACTGAACGTATATTGTACACAGGGACAGGGCTTAATAATGTCAATTGAAAACTATCCCGGAGTTCCCCTTTAACATCTTGTGTTTTTTTTTTTTCTCCCCTTTCATATTTCAGGTTGCCCTTGTATTTTTTTTTCTCATCTGGGAGGCGGACGTAGGAAAACTCCGAAATCATGGGGAGGAGGTCCTCATCTTCCACCAAGAGTGGGAAGTTCATGCTACATTTGTATCAATGTAACAATTGTTTTATATAGTTCTATTGCAGCTGACATGGTCACCTTTTAGATCCGCATCATGTGCCAATGCAGGTCAATTATACATGGTGGACATAATTATAATACAGGATTTATAGAGCGCCAACAGTGTGCACAGCGCTGTACAATATAAGGAAGACATTACAATCACAAGACAAGATGGTAAGGAGGGCCCTGCCCCTGAGTGCTTACAATCTAAAAGGGAGTGGCAAGTGATACATGAGAAGGTAGCTGTGTGGGGATGAATAGTTTGAGAAAGTGATTGTTCTGTGGTTAGGTTGAGGTGGGATCGGCTTCCCTGGAGAGAAGAGTCTTAAGGGATCGCTTAAAGGTAGTCAGTGTGGGAGATAGACGGACAGGTTGGGGTAAAGAGTTCCAGAGGATGGGAGAGACTCTAGAGATGTCCTGGAGGCGAGCATGGGAGGAGTTGATGAGGGAGCTGGAGAGCAGGAGGTCTTGGGAGGAGCGTCGGGGACAGTTAGGGTGATACTTTGAGACCAGGTTTAAGATATAGCCAGCCGGGGGCGGAGCTGTGGATGGCTTTTAAAATTATTGTTGATATTTTGAATTTTATCCTTTGGGCTATTGGAAGCCAGTGCAGGGATTGGTGGAGAGGGGCGGGGGATGGAAGCCAGTGGAGGGATTGGCAGAGGGGGGCGGGGGATGGAAGCCAGTGCAAGGATT